TGAAAAACAACCAACATACATGAGAATATAGGATGACACTATTGAACGATTATTGTTATTGTGTAGAATTGGTTTCCTACAAGAGCTTGTGGAGGTGTGAGACTCTACAAGAACTTGTGGGAAATGGTTATGGTTGTAAAGGGTTTGTTAATACCAGAAACGATTTTCTATAAAAGCTTGTAGAGGTATGAGACTCTGCAAGAACTTGTGGGAAATGATTTTTGGTTGTAAATGATTTGTTAATTGTAATTTGATGTTATTACTTCACTTAATTTATTACTATTGTTTAAACTTGAGATCAATTGAAATGTTCCTGTTTTCTTTTAAAAATTAATATATGATATTTGCGAAATGAGACCGACTTGTTTGACATGTTTTTTAAACCTTGTTCGAGTTTGGGAGGAATGTTGCTACAGAGCTTAGTGCTCACCCCTTATAAACAATATATTTACAGATTCCGCGTTAGATGAGGAGCTCAGAGTCAACGAACAGGTGCATTGGGAAGCTCCGCTAGATGGGCACGAGGAACCCGAGGTGGATGGTTAGGGCTATACTCTCCTAGGGCTAAACTAGAAAATTTCATTTTGAGACTCGGTGAAGTCTAATATTTTTGTTATCCCGCTGCAAGTTAAATTTGATTCTTTTTGATGTAATTGCCATGGTTGGACATATTCTTTTGGGATGATGTTGTAAATATTAGATATGATGAATGGAGTTTTATTTATTGATGGATTATATTAGTTGTTCTCATGATGTGAATGGTATTAAATTGTAATGCCATCCAAGGTGGTTTTTTGGGGCGTGACAATAACCGATATTTTTCAACCCATGCAAAGACCACCCAACCCATAATATCCTTACGCTCAATTGCCTGATCTGTATGACGTAGGAATAGAGTTGACAGGTAATCCAGAGTGTTTATGGGGATGGCCACACAAATATAGAAAGTAAGGGGACTTAACGGACAAGTACCGAATTTTGAATTTGATTATAGTAAATAGTTTGTTACCCCAAGCCCAGAAAAACCAAATCTATATTGAGCAGGCCTACTTCTTGGATGCCTTTGGGATGGGACACACGATTAATCTTTCGAATCCCATTATGGATCAAATGCTGCTTACTATGTAAAAAAGAAACCTTACTCTCATATGCTATGTTTGTTTCTCTATTATGAAGGGACAAGAGAGTGATTGCAGATCCTACAAGAAAAATGGTGGATCATTTTGCACCGTTAGATAAAACTTCTTTGAAGAAAAGCCAGGGGGTTCAACCTAAATATCAACCCGAAGTACCACCAGCACCACAAGAAGAGCCATTCCAAGCACCTAAAGAATTTTTCCCACCAGAGTAGCCTCCACAAGAAGATGATCATCCATACATACCAGTGGATGTTAGGACCGATAGATAGATCTTACTAGGATTGGAAACCACTGTCACCCAACTTGGTACTAGCATCACCCAAATTAATCAACGTATGGATAATTTTGAGCAAAACCAAGCTAAAATTGAGGTTATTCAGAGAGCGTTTTGGTGGAGGTCCGTCTATATCTTGATCAAAGAACACTGGAGATTCTACAAAAGCTTTGTTATCTTTCACTCATATTTTATTTATGCACTTGAATTTACTTTATGTTTTGAACTTGTTTTTGGTTTTAAACTTGTTCTTATTAGTAATTTTATTTTTGTTAGTTAATGTGGAACTTATGTTCTTAAGTTAGGAAGATTATTTCATATGTTCTTAAGTTAGGTTAATATTCCTATGCTTTAAAAGAATAGTCTTAATCTGATCACGGGGGATTTTCATATTTTAGTTGTATATTATCTTAATTTTTTTGTTTAAACTTACTTTATCGATCACAAATAGATTTCTTTATATTAACCTTAAGACATATTAAACTCTTTGCATATATAGTGGAGATGTAAAACCAATTGCAGAATTTGAGCTAATTTTTCTCGGAGAGATATTCTACATCTACTTAAATAAGAATCTTTGATTTAAAGACAAATTTTCTTTGAATAATCTCATTAGTTTTGTTTTTGATTAACACTCATTGAATTGTATTGTTAGCATTTTCTTTAAAATTTTTATTTAGAGATTGTACAGGTGTATGATATTTGAAAATTGATCTTAGGCCATTTTTGATAAATTTTGAGCCTTGACCATTTCTTTTACAAAATTATATCCTTAGTAAGCCGTGATTGAGCCTAAAAGAGTATAAATTCTTTTCATGAAACCCAAAAAATACTCAAGCCACATGAAAATATATATTAAACCTACATTTGCTATCTAATTTTCTTGAACCCTCTTCTAAATTTGTATGGTACAGAAAAGCACAAGAAAAAGACAAGGTGGAAAAGAGCTAGGAAAAGGGTGATTATTGTTCAAAGAAAAGGAAAATTTGTGAAAGAAATGTAAAGAAGAAGAAAAAAAGAAAAGAGTCAAGAAAGTAAAAAATGGAAGAAATAAAATGAAAGAGTGTGAAAATCTTAGAAAACCAAGAAGAGGTGCGCCACAATATAAAGGGTAGCATTTGTGTCCCATTGACGTCGTTTCTTAAATCCTAAACCAATAGCCACATTATAACCCTAAGAAAGTCCTTTTTAATTCCAGAGATCATGCATTAGTATTAATCCTATCAATCCAAAAAAGGAGAATGTTGATAATATGTTCAATGTGGTGTTAATATCCTTTCATGAGATTATGTCAAATTTCAGTTCTTTTCAAAATAATTGTTCTTTTGATATATTACATGTGATATTATTTGCTTTGTTAACAATATTCCAATCACATGTAATTACTGAGTGAATAGTCACTATAACATATGTGTATTTGTTGCTGAGTGTATCCCAGGGAAGGATTGACATCAAGACTACCATGAAAGATGGTAATATTTCCTAAGTGATTTTTGAGATAAAGAAATCATTGCACGCGTACGCACACACATACACACACAAGTTTTTATAAAAATATATGAATAATATTACAACTAACGTTTGTTACTATTATAGTGATCAGAAAAAGAAAATATTCTAACAATGCAGAGGAATATTGATTTAATTTTATTTGTAAAAAGTACGAATTATAAACTCCTAACTATCAAAGTTTGTAGGGAGCTTCACTGAAAACCTTCACGAGACAAAACTCATCCACTAGGGATCATCTAGGGGTTTAACGGCTTGTTGCATATGCTAAATGCAATCGTGATAATCTACGAAAGTGATTTCATTTTATTTTTGTTAATAGTTTTTGTTTACTGGGAACTAGTAAAATTTAGGTTGGGGAGTGTGATTAATCCTAAGTAGTATGTAAATTAAAATAATTAAATAAGTAAATTTTGTAAGATAAAACAATTAAAAACTATAGATTAGGTTTGTGCATAAGCTAGGGTTTTATGAGTGTAATGTCTAAAATTTCAATGTTTTTGTGCGAAATTGTCGAAAATCATGAGGAGCAATCTGTCAAAGCTTGAAACAACAAAGGAGGCAAGTGCAATTCAAGAAAAGAACATGCAAGAACATTATGGAATCTCCACAACCTTTCCAATAAAAGAGCACCGTTCTGACGGTGGTGGTGTCGTTTGGATGGTTGCTATAGATGGTTCAAGGTTATCCTCCGCCTTCTGCTTTCACATTTTGCCTATAAATAGGCCTCTTCATCCATTATAATTGAGAGTTGGGGGGTTGGAGTTCGATTTTGAGAGAGAAAAGGAGAATCCAAGGGAGAAAAAGAAAGAAAAAAAGAGGGAAAGTCAAAGAAAAATTCAAGAACCCAAAGGAGGATCCTGTCCGACCTACTCACCAATCAGAACTCTATCATTTCTACATTTCTGTTATGTTTTTCTACTTGGAGAATTGAACTTCTGCCACCTTTGTGTCGTAACTAATAGTAAGGGTGGTTGTATTTTAATTATTCCTTGCGAAAAAAGTGTCAGTGCCTATATTTTTTTTAGTATTGTAATGAGAATTACCCACATTTCTTGCTTGTTTATAGCAATGGAGTGTGAGTAGTTTACTTGTACCCTTCAAGGAAGGGTGAACATATGTATATTATTGGTTAAATTATGGAAATGTCGATGTTTAATTATGCTATATTGATATATATACCTCCCTTAACTGATGGATGATTATATTTATAGTATGCTCATGGTTATGAACACCGAGCAGTACTTAATATTCTATATCATATTATATACTATTATGTACTTCATGTATGATACAGTGATGTACGTAATTGGGTGTTACATGAAAGTTGATTGATTGGTTATAAACAAGTTAAGTCTTGGTATATCCAATTCTTTCAGTACAATATGTAGCCCGAAATTATGTCATCAATGAATCATCAACCTGCCATTGAAATATTTAAAGTGTTCCATTTAAATGGCTTGACCTTCTGGCGCGCTAAGGATATTTTACTGTTGCATTGTATAAAACTGTTGGACGAATAACCTAAGTGTTCCATTTGAATGACTCGACCTTCTGATTTACTAGGGTTGTTTAACTGATATATAAAACTACCAATTGAGTAATTCTAGTATTCCTCCTGAATGGCTTGACTTTCCGGTTTACTTGAATTAGTCAATTGTTGCATATACCTACCAACTAACCTATGAAGTTGTTATGGTATAATTTAATATACATTAGCTCTACCAGTTGACTTTTTAATGACGTAGAAGTTAATTGTTGTAAGGTGGCATTTCTAGTATTTAACCAATATAAAGCATATGAAATCCTTAAACTTAACGGTACCTTTTATTAGCGTCTTTTAACAGTTAACCTACTCATTTTATTTATTTAGACTAGTTATCAATCTAACTTACATCACAAACTATCTTATGTTACACTGCTTTAACAACAACCTCACTATTCCTATTTTAAATTTCAATTATTAAAATTGTTCGTGGGATCGATCTTGGACTTAAACAGAGTAAACTACAATTCGACAACTTATACTTGGGTATATGATATGAAGCAGGTCACGAAATAGGTTGAATCAGACTTCCTCACATGGGTGTTTTAAGGATAGACCGTGGTGTTGGGGGAGGTCTTTGGTAATGCAATGCCTTCACAATGACTCCTGGGATGATCTCCGTCACCTTCCCTCTCAGATTTGTTTTCAACAAATACAAGTTCTCATCCCTCACCCCTAGCTTTTGATCAAACTCCCTACAGATGGGAAGTACAAATCTCCCAACGGGCTTGAACCAAACATTGATGCCATGACCCTCTATCACTTGAACCACGTCATCGTTTGGCCTGAGGGTGGGCCTATCTACTTGCAACTTGCACGTCTCAGTTTTTCCCTTTATACTCTCTGTTGGAGCGTCATTCTTCCGTTTCTTCCTTTGTTCCCCACCACTGGGGCCTACCTCCTCGGTCCTCTTTCGGGATCCGATTCCCGTTGGTGGTGGAGAGTCGGGGCCCGTTTGCTTGGTACTAGCCATCACTATGAAAAATGACCCTAGGGTGACAAATGGCAACAACCAACCCCACACTACATCAAAAATGCCAAAGGATGCATGAGAAGACTTATCAATCGAGCCATTCCTCCAAATTCCAAGTTTCAAGTGAAAATCAAGGTTTTTGATGGACTGGTGATGCTTTGTGGAGGAAAGAAGGGTTTTTCTTGGGAAAATGTCAAGGAAATGAGGAGTAATCGCTGCGAATCAAAAACTTAGGGAAGATAATCGGTGGATTTGATGAATGTCCAAGGTCTTTTTAAGTATTTGGAGGGTTTTGAGAGAGGAGAGAGGGTTTTTAAGGTTGAGATGGATGAGATAAGTGAAGGGTTTCATCGAATTTATGAGTTAAAAACCTTCGTTTTTGGGTTTTTGGGCAAACCTACCAGTAGGTCGTTAAGGTTCTACCGGTAGAACAGTGTACTAGAAAATTTCTACCGGTAGGTTTTGCAATCTTCTACCGATAGGTTTCAATTTTTTGCAAAAATTTTCCTACGCTCTCATCATCTCCCTCACTCCAAGTTTATTCAACTCCAACACATTCTAATGACCTATTTACTAACTCAACTTCACAAAAAACATGATACATGCTAGTTAACCACAATGTGTGACCATGCCCAAATTCATTTACGAAATTGCAATGCGATTTGAGTTTTGATGCTTTCAAAACACATGACATGGAATTCTAAATTCAATAAAATGAACACCCAATATGTAAAGCACAAACTATAGTACAAAAGGCATTCCTATTTCTTTCTCATATCTAAAATTTGAGCAATATTCCCTTATCCTACTAGCTCAGGGTTGCCTGACACAATTTTTCAAACACCCAAAGCAATCACACATGAGTTTCATAATAGCTTAAATGCTATTCTAGAGTATACACTTACACATTTCTTTTCAAACTCATGTGTGTGTGAAATGAACATGTAATTTAAGCATTTGCTCAATGGAATCCACATTCACTTAGCTATCTAAATTCAGTTTTGATGCAATTTTCACCAAGGGTTTCCCTAAAAAATGAATAACTCTATGATTATCTTGGCATCCTCTCCATATGTATGTGTGAGATAGAATCTAGTCCACAAACCAAAATTCTCACATATAATTCAAAAAATGACGTGCATGCATAACGATAGAAATGACCTTGACATAATCTCATGAATGGAATGTTAGGGCATTAGATAGCAAAACCAAATTTTCTTTTCATTTAAAGTGTGCTCTCAGCATGCTTTCTCTAGATCATTTAGGGCTTTTATGGGTTGTAATGAGGCCTTGGGATGATATTTGGGTTGAGTGAAACGAAGGATAGAGGGAGACAAAAAGGGTTATTCCGAGGGGATGACCTTTATTGTAAAAAATCTCCTTTTTTGGGGAATTCTCGGCATTTCACATTCACGTCAATTGTTATGTCTCTTTTTCTTCTTCTTTTCCTCAATATTTTTTTTCTCGTTTTCCTTTCTTTTCAACCCCCTTTTTCTTGGATTTTTCTTTTCTTTTTCATTCAAAATTTGAATTCAACACCATTCATCCCTTTTTGGATTTCCTCACCACATTTCCCTTTTATCATGATTAATCACAGTCAGTCTTGGAACAACCAAGATGTAGTAATTGTAATCATTTTGCACTGACTTGGTAAAACACGTGGCATGAAAATGAGTTTTTAATTAAGACCCAATCACGGCACTAGGAATAAATTTTTCACAAGAAAAAAGGCTAAGGCTCAACGCAATTCAAAGATGACTTAAGATCATCTCTAGATAAGTATGGAGAGGCATATTGGCATTTTAAGACAAAGTCAATTAGCTATCCACATGCACTCTAACCAAAGTAAGCATATTGAGATTATTTAATGAATTTTGAATTTGAAAAATATTCCTTTGAGTAAATGTAAGTTCCCTCCAACAACGATTGACACTAAAGTTCACATGGGTACTTACTTCATCTCCACTATGTATGTCAAGTTCTTAAATATGGATCCAATCAATAAATTGACAAAATTACATATTCAAGGTGCACTATGGTTCTCTAGCATAGGATAAATTTCTATGATGTACTAATGAGTTCAAAGTTCAAAATGAAGATCAACTATCACTAGACCCAAAACACTTTGAATAGGGAAATATGGTTCAACATTCAGATATTTTTCAATTTTTTTTAAAATTTTTTCATCTATTTCTATACTATACAAAAAAATGGTAGAATATGTGAATGGTGCATTTCACCACAAAATGGTATTATTAACAAAAAATTGGTGTCTCATACAAGTGGTGTACCTCATCCCCCAACTTGAACTACAACTTGTCTTCAATGCAACGAAAAGATATGGGATGTAATGATGGAATTAAAAATCCAAGAAGAATAAGAGAACGCCTTGTAATGAGCTTTGACAAAAACACCACTATCTGCATATATGAAGAAAGGACACTATCCACATATGAAAGTGAGTAAACAATTTAACTTGCAAAGTAAAGAATAAAGGAAAACAATTGTACACTAATATCTACTTGAACACTTACGCCTCAACAGGGCCCAGATAGACCCGATCCACCAACTCCTCTTCCACTATTTGAATTTCAAAATCCTCGAAGAATGGTTTAATCCTTTGGCCATTGACCTTGGATGTTTTACCATCTTTAGGGTTTTTTATGTCCACGACTCCGTTTGGGTAGGCCACCTTGACAATGTAGGAGTCATCCCATCGTGATCAGAGTTTTCCTTGAAAAATAGAGAGACGAGAATTATACAAGAGCACTTTTTGGCCGGGCTCAAATGTCTTTCTCAAAATGGATTTGTCATGAAAAATTTTGCCCTTTCTTTGTGAATCCTAGAGCTCTCGTATGCATCTCTATGAATTTCCTCCTATTCATTTAACTCCAACTTCCTATGTTCTCCAACTATTCTCAAATTGAAATTCAAGGTTTTTATGGCCCAATATGCCTTGTGCTCCATCGCCACTGGCAAGTGACAGGCCTTGTCATAGACTAGCCAATAGAGAGACATACCAAGGATGGTCTTATAGGCAGTGCGGTAATCTCACAAGGCACCGATCAATCTGAATAACCAATCATTTTGATTTGTGTTAACCATTTTCTCTAGTATTCTCTTTATCTCCCTATTGGCCAACTCGACTTGGCCATTATTTTGTGGGTAATAAGTGATAGTCACCTTGTGTGTTACGCCAAATTTATGCATCAAAAAAACAAATGGTCTATTACAACAATGTGAACCACCATCACGTATCATTGCACGAGGTATCCCAAGCCTAAAAAAAATATTTTCTTTTAAAAACTTGAGCATGACTCAACGGTCATTGGTCTTGGTTGGATTTGCCTTAACCCACTTGGACATGTAGTCCACTACCAATAGGACATAGAGGTAGCCAAAAGACATAGGGAATGGACCCATGAAATCGATGACCCAACAATAAAAGATTTCATTGACTAGCACGGGAGAAAGGGGCATCATGTTTCTATGGGTCACACTTCTTAACCTTTGACACCTATCACATTGTTTACAAAATGAGACACAATCTTTAATCAATGTAGGCCAATAAAAACCGCTTTGTAAAATCTTAGCTGAATTTTTCTTGGAAGAGAAGTGCCCACCAGATGCCTCAGAATGGTAGAAGGAGAGGACATCCCGTTGTTCATTTTTTGGTACACACCTCCTCATAACTTGGTCAGGGTAATAGTTGAACAGGTACAAGATGTAGAAGTAGAAGTACTTCACATCCGCCATGAATCTTCTCTTATCTTTTGGGCTCCAATGTGGGGGTATTTGTCTTCTAACAAGAAAATTGTAAATGTCAGCATACCACGGACAAACTGAATGGATAGAAAATAAATGTTCATTAGAGAAAAAATCAAGGATAGGGATGTGTTCTTCAGTGTCTTGTACAACAAGCCGTGACAAATGGTTCGCCACCACATTCTTAACTCCTTTTTTGTCCTTGATGATTAGGTTGAATTCTTAAAGGAGGAGGATCCACCTAATGAGTCTTGGTTTAGCATCCTGCTTAGACAACAAATACTTTAAAGCAGAGTGATCAGTGTATACTACAATAGGTGAACCAATTATGTATAACCTAAATTTATCCAATGCAAATACTACAACTAGTAACTCTTTTTCAGTGGTAGTGTCATTTATTTGTGCTTCATTTAGAGTTTTGTTGGCATATTATATTACATTTGGCCTTTTGTCTTCCATTTAATCTAGCATTGTGCTGATTGCATAATCACCCGCGTCGCACATGAACTCAAAATATAGTTCCCACTTGGGTGGTTGCATGATGGGAGGTGAAGTAAGCATACTTTTAAGTTTTTTGAAAGATACCTCACAATCATCCGACCACACAAAGGGTACATCCTTTGCTAGAAAATTTGTCAAAGGTCTTGCTAATGCACTAAAATCTTTAATGAAATGACGATAAAAACTTGTGTGGCCAAGAAACGACCTGATGTCTTTGACGACCTTTGGAGTGGGTAGGTTGGAAATTGCTTCCACTTTAGATTTGTCCACTTAGATTCCCTTTGTGGACACAATGTGTCCAAGCACAATCCCTTAGGTTACCATGAAGTGACACTTTTCCCAATTAAGCACCAAATTCTTCTCTTCACATCTCTCTAGAACTCTCTCCAAAATTTTCAAACATCCTTCAAACGAGTTCCCAAATACTGAAAAGCTATCCATGAAAAATTTCATAATCTTTTCCACCATATTGCTATATATCCCCATCATACATCTTTGAAAAGTTCTCGGGAATTGCATAAACCAAGTGGCATTTGGTGATAGGCATAAGTACTAAAGGGGCACGCGAATGTGGTCTTCTCTTGATCCTGCAGGGTAATCTCTATCTGATTGTTGCCGAAGTAGCCATCTAGAAGCAATAGAAAAGATGTCTAGCTACCCTCTCCAACACTTGATCGAGGAATGGCAAGGGAAAGTGATCCTTTGAGTGCATGAATTGAGTTTCCGATAATCAATACAAACTCTCCAACCGGGGACCACCCTTGTCGGAATCAACTCATTCCACTCATTTGCTACTACAATGAATCCCGACTTCTTTGGTACCACTTGTGTGGGACTAACCTATTTACTGTCTACAATTGTAAAAATAATGTTCACGTCAAGTAGCTTAAGCACTTCATCTCTCACCACATCCTTCATGATGGGATTTAGCCTTCGTTGTGGTTATCGG